ATTCCTAAATTGCAATAGGTTGTAATATGAAGTTTGCTTAGTTTAGTGGAGTTGAAATCCTAATGGGGTAGGTCTGTGATTTTTAATCCCTTGAGCAAGAAGTTTTTTACGTAAATATTTTGTGTTCTTTATTTACTGCTTGTTTATATGACAAGTGATAGAGAATCTGATTCTCTATACGGTTAGACTCTTAGTTTCTATCAATGTTATATGCATTGTTACGGAGGACCACTTTTGTCTATAAAAAAATGTTTCGGTTACATAAGGGAAAATATCAATAGGCTAATACCAAAAGTTCTTTTCCCATTTTAAAATTGCATTTGACCAAAAAAGCTAATCTTAAAAGAACGATATTAATTTAGCAGGGCTATATACGTGGTGCTTTTCAAGTGCACAATCACTTTCGAGTGACGGTGCGTCCTTTAGCTTCCCCATAAATATGAAATAAATTAAATGTATTATAGTTTAGAAGGTATATAAAGGAATTATTTAATTTATTTTAACAATATATTTAATTTATTTTAACAATATGATGTAGACATGAAAAAATCTGACTTGAGCATCGCGATTGATTGAGTTGTAAGTTTACCTTTTCTTGTAAATTTAAACATATTTTCTCTTTTTTTTTTTTTTTTTTTTTTTTTTTTTTTTTTTTTTTTTACAAGTTTGCTGTATAATCAAAAAACAGTTTTTGTGATCAAAGCAAATAATAAAGTAATTCGGATTTTTAATAACTAATTTTACATCACTTTTTCTAATATAGTCAAACTTAAAAATAAAGAAAATAAAATATTGAGAGAATAAAAAAAAAATTCTTATCGATGTACGCAACATCTTTTCCTAACAAGATCTTCAAATAGCATAAAGTAAAATGCAAGCAATTGACAATGTTATTTCGTGAATTCTATGATGATCTCCCAAAATATGGAAATGGAGGTTTATATAAGTATACAATATGTAATTGATTTGCTATATTTAATTCCCTTCCATTATCAATATTAATTATATTGATTGCCCGTTACTTGAGTAACTTGTAACGGTTATGGTAATAATAACCAATCGAATTTAATTTGGGATTATGTCGATTTTCTTTCCATATCCGCGACTATTAATGAATCTTCCTTCCTTGTAAGCCTTAACTAGTAGTCGTACCTGCCCTATACAACTATCAATATTAAAAAATATTAATTAAATTAAATTTTGATCTTGATTGTTTGAACATATTAGATCGTATTGCTTTAATAAGTTTTAATTGTCATCTTATTTGTCAATACGATATAACCAATAATAAAATCTCTATTAAATTAAAGGGACTTATATAGTCATTCAATAACTTTTTTGTTCTATATTTTTCGTTATTATATTATCCATTGTTTAGTATTTTTACATTGTTAATATAAATTTTTATTAGTATATTACTTTGTTTAATATTTTTGTCTGATCGCTTTATTTTTGTAATATAAGAGAAGATGTATATTTTATTAATCTTGAAATAATTTTTTTGTTTAAATTTTATTTTGTTGTTCTCAATAATATTATCTGAATTTTAATGAATAAAATCTATATTAAATTAAATGGACTTATATATTCATCGAATAACTTTTTTGCTCTGTATTTTTCTTTATTATATTATCCAATATTTAGTATAATTGCATTGTTCATAGAAATTTTTATTAGCATATTACTTTGTTTAATATTTTTGTCTACTACTTTCTTTTTGTAATNTGTTCTCAATAATATTGTCTGGCTTTTAATGAATAAAATCTCTATTAAATTAAAGGGACTTATATAGTCATTGAATACCTTTTTCTTTCTCTATTTTCTATTATTATATTATCCAATATATAGTATTTTTACACTTTTATTAGAAATATTTTATTCTATTATTCTCACTAATATTTTTTGAATAATCTTTTTTATTTTTAAAAAGAAAAACGAAAATTATTTTTAAAAATAAAGAAATTAACTAACCTAAACCAACTCCCACCCATGTATTTTTCTTTATTATATTATCCAATATTTAATATAATTACATTGTTAATATAAATTATTAGCATAGTACTTGTTTAAAAATTTTGTCTGCTACTTTCTTTTTTAATATAATAGAAGATATATATTTTATTACTCTTGAGAGATTTTTTTATTTTAAATTTTATTATACATTTCTTAATATTATTGCCTGAATTTTAATGAATAAATATAATTTTTATTTAAATAAATGAAAATAATTTTAAAAAATAAAACAAAGAAATTAACTAACCTAAACCAACCCTTATATTGTAAATAAAAATTATTAGCATATTACTTGTTTATATTTTTGTCTGTATTTTTTTTATAATATAATAGAAGATATATATTTTATTACTCTTGAAATATTATTTTATTTTAAATTTTATTATATTATTCTCAATAATATTTTTTAAATTTTAATGAATAAATACACTTTTTATTCAAAAAAGAAAAACGAAAATGATAAATGGTCAAATATATCCCTGTACTATCAGAAAATATTTAAATGTACCCCTCGTTATACTTTGAGTCCAAATATACTCCTGTCGTTATACTATTAGTTCAAATATACCCTTTTTCTGTTAAGTTTGTCCAAAGTGGACATCCAATCATATGTGGCACTGACATTTGATGAGGTGGATGCCACATGGCTTGCCACATCAGTTCCCCTAACTTATTTTACCCCTCCCTTCTATTTTTTTTCACCACTAAAATTTTCTTCCCCTACACCACTATTGCCACCATTACCGCTACCATGAATAATATTGTATTTCAAATTTTAGTCTTTTATATATATAGATTAGGGGCGTTGAGGTCGCATGTCATGTGGCATCCACCTCATCAAATATCAGTGTCACGTAAGATTGAATTTTCACCTTCGACAAACCTAACACAAGAGGTGTATATTTGAATCAATAGTATTACAAAAGGGGTATATTTAGACCCAAAGTATAACAAAGGATATATTTAAATCTTTTCTCACAGTATAAGGGTATATTTGGCCATTTGCCGTTTAAAAAATGAAACAAAGAAATTAACTAGCCTAAACCAACCATCACCCATGTTTTATAATAATTAATTATTAACTAAATTATTAATTATTAACTAATTATGCTATGCGGCTTTTTTTAGGTTACCATTTGGATTAATGTGGTGCATTTTTGTTTGGGTTTTTAATAATATATAGAAGATTGTGCATCTCGCGCCTATCTCTTCTCTCCGAGTTGTCATATACGATTTCTTTGTAAACAATTCCGTGGGTATTTTTTCGATGTCTTTCCAACCTTCACTCTTCTTTATTATTCTAACTCTCGTGCCACTTATCAGCACATCATTAATCCATGTGTCAACTCTATTTTTCTACCAATACATTAGTTTCTTTAGTAGCATGATAGAAGAAAGGAAGAGGAAAGTACTTGACAAAAAAATTACACTGTATTTAGTATTTACCAATCTAACAAATGCGTGATATATGTTTGCAATCAATTTATTATGATTAACTAATATATGTTATCACCTCACTTTTAAATTACTTTACTACAATAAGTTAATACTATGATTTAACATAAACATAGAGTGAGAGTAGTAGTTATTTTAGTGTACTTTGGTGCAAGGGGAACTAGTGGCTAGACTGTAACTTCATTCTCACAAGATATTTGATTTTGATCTTGCTTCAACAGTTGTATGATAACGATTGAGGGCAAACGATGGTTGGTAAAGGAGAAGAAAAGGTTTTGACATTGCCTTAGATTTTGGATTACTTGCAGTCGTCATTGTTTCTTTTGGCTTAAGAAGATGTCTTCGAGTGGATTAGGCATTGCTTAATTTGTTTGCAAAACTAAAATCATTCGTTTTTCCTTTTACACTCTACATTAAACTAACAATTCTACCTTTTCTTCTGTAATACGGGGAAGTTGAATAATAAATACTGTGTATTTTATATTGATGTATCTATAAGACTATAACTACTACAACAATTGCAGTGTTACATCGCTACTTGCTTTGTTCAACAAATTATTGTTGACACAGAGAAAATGTGGGAATGGAGGAATTGTTCAACAAAATTTTACTTAACCGTATAATTGTACCTTATATTGGTTGAACTTTCTCTGCTTAACATTTCATTTTTTGACTTTACCAATTGTACTACGATCAACGATACATTTAAGAGTTCAAATAAGAAATGATTATCGATTTCATTATCATTAATTAATTTATAGATGGTACAAAATATGGGCCCATATATGGAGACATGTGTCTAACAACTTGATTAATTTAAAATTTAAAGACCTCAAATGAAACTTAAAAATCAAATGATATGCTCTCAAGTATCATTTGAATTTGAAATGAGCTAAAAAAGTGAGTGGACTGTCATTTAATTCCTGGTCCCTATATATTAATTTCCACATTATAGTAAAGGCTATAACTCCAAAATACATAAAATCAAAGTTCCTTCGAGCAAACAACTCTAAGATAATTGTGTTTGGGAAAAAAAGCATTGGATATGTGGAAAACTTGTGTTTAATTTATTTTTCAAAATAAAGCATTGGTTACCAAATCAGGTGAGATTCCAATCAATGGCTTTAGTAAAGTTTCCTCTCACATTCGTAGGTCAGTTATGCAATTCACGTATTTCGAACCAAATCATAGCAAAGAATTTTTCAAAAAAAAAAAAAAAAAAAA